ACATCTGACAAAACAATAATTACTGATTCCTTCAACAAATACTTTACAAATGTTGGTAAATCACTTGCAAATAAGAACAAACACAGAAGAAATAGACAACAAAAATTCCCTAAAACGAATTTAAAAAATTCATTCTTTTTAATGGACGCTACAGCAAATGAAATTATTGATATAATCAAAGGCTTGACAAACAAAAAAAGTCCAGGATTAGATACTATCAGGGCAGATGATATAAAACATATTTCTTCTAAAATTGCAGAACCACTAGCTTATATCATAAATATGGCATTCAAAATAGGTCGGTGTCCAGAAGCGTTTAAATCCGCAGTCGTAACGCCGATCTACAAAAATGGAGATAGGCTGGACGTGACCAATTACCGTCCTATATCACTAATCTCGTGCCTTGCGAAAATATTTGAGAAGCTCTTGAAGAAACGTATTAACTCGTATCTAATAAAATATAATATATTGTCGACAAACCAGTTTGGTTTTACAGAAGGAAAATCAACAAATGATGCGCTTGTATCACTCACAAACGACATTGTCAAAAGTATCGATTCTGGTTTGTCTACCATATGTATATTTGTAGATCTAAAGAAAGCTTTTGATACCATTAGTCACATTCAGCTTATGGAAGTTTTGGATGGAATAGGATTTAGGGGAACACCGTACAAGCTTATGGAGAGTTATCTTCAAAACAGGAAACAATGCGTTAAAATAGACGACACTAAAAGTACCTTTCTAACGAGTGAATACGGTGTTCCTCAGGGAACTGTCCTGGGTCCTATGTTGTTTAATCTATATCTAAATGACATCTTTAAAATAAATAGCAAGGGTCGCATAGTGAGTTTTGCCGATGATACGGCTGTAATATATCAAGACAAAAATTGGCAAGATCTAAAAAGTCTAGTAGAAATAGATTTCGCAAACATAATCAAATGGTTTGATCAAAAAGAACTTACAATCAATACAGACAAAACTCACTTCATGGCATTTGCTTCATATTCCAGTTATTTGCCCCAATATACTACTTTGTCAATAGATTTGGATGGAGAAAGGGTGGACATTAGATCTGTTTCGAAGATAAAATACTTAGGATTAATACTAGATTCACACCTAAAATGGGATATACACATCGAATATTTACTAAAAAAACTAAGAACAGTCAATTATAAATTAAAATATTTAACTAGGTATTACGATACAGAGCAACTGAAAATAATATATTACTCACTATTTCAAAGCCATTTATCTTATGGAATTGTTGCCTGGGGAGGTACATATAAGGTACACATACACAAATTAGAGGTTATTCAAAAGTATATACTCAAAATAATATTCAAAAAACCAAGATTATATACTAGTAGTACACTTTATAGTGAAACCAAAATTCAAGATATTCGACAATTATATTTTGTAAATCTCATTATACATCAACACAAAAATCGAAAGGAATTAACCAAAATTCATCACCAATACTCTACCAGGTATAGGTCAAATGATGTTTTCTCCGTCATCAGGGCAAAAAAAGATTTATTACAAAGATCATATCTATATTTAGGGCCAAAATGTTATAATCTAGTCCCCTCAGAAATAAAAAATCTTAATCACTTTAACTTATTCAAAAAATTTGTCAAAAAGTGGTGTAATACATTAAGTTGCTCAGATATCCACGTATTAATTGAGGGTAAATAAATAAATTAAAAAAAAATAATTGAAAATAAAAAAAAAAACAAAAAAAAAATCTAAAAAAATCATTTTTTTTGTTCCTCTTATAATCATGTATTACGTGTACCAAAAAGTTATAATAATTAATTATTATAGTTATTATTATTACTATTGTTGTATTGTTATTGGTATTATTATTATTATTATTATTATTATTATTTTTTTTAATTATTATTAATATTATTATTGTTATTGTTGTTATTATTATTAGATGGTTATTAGTATTAATCTATAGTGCAATATGTTAATTAGATGAAAGTATTATAAAAACACTTGTCAGAGACACTAATTATTTATAGTTAATCCCACGCACAGACTTGCTCTTCTGTGGGACTATCATATTTATTTTTCCTAATATGGCTTATATTTTACATTGTTAACCTTACATAATATGTAATTATTTGGTAAATAAATATTATTATTATTATTATTATTATTATTATCATTATTATTCTCCAGTACAAAAAGAAAACAAAGCGACCCTTCCAAATTTGTTTGCAGGACAGCAAACCACGGTCCTGTAGGATCCATGTGTTTATTAAAGCGGTTTCCCGCGTATTAAAAGTTTCATGGTACGATTGTCTTTTCGGTGGCGTCCTTTATTGTCTAAATATAGAAGCAGGATGGCGTGGGATGAATCGGCCAAATTAGAACCGACCGGAAACGGAATGCGAAATGAGCTGAGGAGTCGCCATTGCGAGAAATGCACTAGTGAATTTTATCGCTTTAGACTTTAGACCACCACCGATCCAGGCATACTAATAAGCATTAAGTTGGACGCTGTTGGGTCGACGTGCATTTTGTGAGACGATATTTTCATATTTTGTTCTGGGTTTAATTTAAATTGAGTTCAAAAATAACATTTTGAAAATTAAACATGTTCTATTAATGAAAACTATTATTTTAATGTTTTTATAAAAATAAAAGGGCAAATCGAACATCTTCAAAATTTCTAATTCCTTCTGGGCTTTTATTTTTAGTCCGATTTTCATGAAGTTTTCAGGAGGTAGCAATAATATCTTAAAAATAACATGTTCTACTTAGAGACCAATTTTCCAAAAGTTTTTGGGAAAGCTATCCAGACTCTTTTATACGGGGCGGGGTGGAAATATTCCAACAATACAACCTCCTTCCCCCTACGATTAGTTGAAAATCTGAAATCTGTTAGGAAATTTTAGGTGTTGCCCTGCCCAATAATTTGTTGTAGCAACGTCTCTAACTGGCCGAGTATACAAAATAAAACAAGAAAAATATTTTCTACAAAAAAAAGTATTAACGCATGTGTACCACAAGGTAGTGTGCTAGAACCAGTGCTTTACCTGTTGTACACTTGTGAAATACCACAAATCAATCATGCGACCAACGTTACTTATACTGACGAATACTGCTTATCTCAGCAGAAGGACATGACAACGAAGAAATTGTAAATAAACTTTAACAGGATTGTAACGATGAAATGGACCAAGATGTTGAGAAGGTTTGTGGGTTAGAAGAGGTTTTTTAACTTTAAAATGCGTTTAATCAAATAAGAAAAATAACAAATGAAAACTTATAGCTAATTATTGTTCTCGTCAGGTGCTCGTATCAACGTCTCGAGCCCGACTACCCACTGCCGGTGTTCAACCGCCCGACCCCGCTTGCTTTCCCTCACTTCGCGAACCTCACTTACCAGTGGCGTAGCACTTGTCTTTTATAACCACTACAATGTGGAAAACAAGAATAAATGACAGCAAATTAGCTATACCAATAAAGAAAGGAACACTAAACTTATCAATAAGCAAAAATAATAAGGATATATCACATTAGGATACAGTAAAATACCTGAGAAAGAACTTGAGTCCGTTTACAAAAGAAAGAATATTTAAAGTAAAAATTTAAAATATAAAAAAATAGATTAGCTAGTGGGACGTAAACTAAACCTATCTGTATATAAGCAGATTTTAAAACAAGTTTGGGTCGATAGAATCTAGCTTTTACAAGTTGCAGCAAAGATCAATATAAACAAAATTAAAATATTTCAGTTCAAAGTGCTTCGAGGTAAGGTAGATGCACCATAGGATTTGTTAAAAAAACAAACATTTTAGACTGTAAAACTAAATAATAAATATACCAAGTACGGCGCTGTACAAATTCCAGACACGAGATATATTTTAATATTTCAAAAATATATGACGAATTAAACAAAGTGTTACTATAGATTGATTATATTTGCATGTTAATATACTATATACAAGTCAAAAATAGTTAATATCTCACACTACGTGCTGATCCAGAAAACCATGGAGGATAAATCCGCTTATAGTAACTAATTTCTGATAAAAATATGTCAGCCCTCCCTAATTCATCCCTTTATGAGTGAATGTCAACCCCTGAAGTCGACTGAGTGACTTGTGTAGGGGAAGGGACGCCCATTATTATTTGCTGTGGCACAACGGGGCGACTTAAAGATGATTGATGGTGCCATTGGACTTATAGGTGAGGAAAACCGGAAAAACGCCACCTACCATCATCGAAACAACAACGCATGGCGATTTTTATAATCTGGATGCCATTTCAAGAGAAATTAAATTTCTGCTAATACGGCATCCATCAAATCCTATATAGTCCAGTAACATTGTCGCCGGTAGTTCTAATTTCTTGCACTTATTTATGATGTTGTGACTTCGAGCACCGAACGCAACTTTGTCAAAAATCGAAAACAACCGCGTAAATTTCGGACTTTTTTCAGATTTTGGCGATTATACTCCTAAAGGACTAGTTTTTGACAGTACCTTCTCAGGACGTTTGTAAAGTAAACTAAATTTGCTACAATGTGAGACTAGAATTGTCTCTGTAGACCCAATAATTTCCGAGATAAAGCTTTTCAAAATTCATAATTTTTTATGCCAGAGATAATCGTAGATGAGAAAACCATGGCACAGGTTCCTCAATAGAAATTCTTATCAAATAACAAAAAAAAGATTCGTTTCATAAACCTTCTGACAACTAAAATGGGAAATCACAACATTCAAGTACTCCAAGAAGACAAAGATGCTGATAGTTTCTACATCACTACAGCTGTAACTGTTGCCTCTACCTATGATCATCCTCACTGCGATCTCAAACCAACGTGAAATTTTTTACAAATATGGAAGAGGCAAAGCTGCAGATGTCATGTATTCCTGCATCACCTCTTCAAAATCCTCATTGTAACCAGATCTTTTCCTCTTCATCCATGCCTTTAGTGGTCGTGACTCGACATCCTGCTTCTTTGGCTTAGGGAAGAAGAAAGGATGTCCATGGTTGAAAAAAATTTGAAAGTTGAAAAGGAAGCTACCATTTTTTTCAAAACCAACTCTACATCTGACGAGATAGCAGCAACAGGAGAGCGAGTTATAATCGCTCTATACGGAAACAACCCAAACACCCACAACCTTGACAAGCTGCAGTACCAAATATTCGCCAGGGCTGCGGCGAAAACCAGCTTCAATCTGGTCACGTTACCTCCTACACAAGACTCTGCTCGATTTTATTCCTTGCGGACATACCATCAGGTACAAATACTCATTATATCTTATTCATCATTTTCTATTCAACTGCTCATGTACAATCTTCTTTCAATTACAGGCGTGGTTGGGAGTCACACTGTACCCTCTCTCCGGGGGATGGATATCCACGTCACAAGGCCTCAACCCCAAAATGATGGCCAGAGACGCAGCCCCACATCTCTTGTGCATGATTTCTTGCGGGTGCAAGAAGGGTTGTGGGAACGCCTGCAGCTGCAAGTACTGCAGCGGAGCTTCCTGTGACTACGTACCTGATGTTGCAGTAGTCGATAGCCCAGAAGGCGACTATCTATCCGATGTGGGCACAAGACATTGACGATGCATCACCATCCTCTGATGGGGATATACCATCCCGATATGACGAACCGGATACGGACGAACCTCAACCGGGACCTTCCAAAGGGCTAAATTAACTTAATTTATTGATTTTGAATAACTTAATTTACTAATAAACCTAAATTTTTGTTGTACTTAGTATAGGGCTTCGATAGTATAACAGGGATTACGAAGAATCATGGTCAAAATGTATTTAGAACTACAGAATATTGCAAAAAGTTCGAACATTATAAACTTTAAAAGGCTTTATCTAGAAAAATATTGGATCTACAGAGACAATTCTAGTCTTATATTGTAGCAAAATTAGTTTACTTTAAAAAAGTCCAGAGAAGGTACTGTCAAAAACTAGTCCTTTAGGGTTATAATCGCCAAAATCCTAAAATTTTCGCGATTTTTTCGATTTTTGACAAAGTTGCGTTCGGCGCTTGAGGTGACAAACTTGGATTATATTGGACCTACATCATAAACAAGTCTGTAAAAAATCAGAACTACCAGATATGACGCAAGCTCTGATGTATAAAGTTACTGCACTAATAGAGAACCATGCAAATAAATTGAGAAACTTGGATTTGCTTGGCTCCGGATAAAAATGGATACAAGGATTTGTCGTGTTCTAGTGATGGTTTTTGTCCCTTAAAAAAGCTATTATGAAAAATGGTCACGGACCAAAGTAAAAGAATATGGTCAGTCACGTAGACGAAATTACATTACCCTAAAAACTAGATATGTACAAACAATATCGATTTCTATCTTAGTCTTTGATCGGATCTCTCTCACAACGTAACGCTAGACGAAGCGGTAAACCACATCATTGGTCAGAGAACTATCGAAGCGTCACAGATACGTTAGAAACGATAGTTGTTTTACTTTACAATTTTAATTTAAAATTCATTCTATTAGCTAATCTCTTAGGTGATTTAAAAGATCATGGATGTAATCAGTTTTTTCTGAGACGTTTCATTTTCTAACAAGTTGTACAAACAAAAAGCACTTGTAATATTATTATTTCAATAAATTAATGTAAAATAACGAACATAATTTTCTCGAGAACATTATATAACATGAATTAAGATACGAGTATTCAACATCAGACTACAAGCAAGCATGTAGGTCACAACTTAGGTAAAATTATAAATCAACAGAAAACCTCTTTTCAGTATTACTGAAATGACCACCTTCACAGAAATGAAGATACTGACCGTCAAAGAAGAGATCAAGAGATTTGCAGGGAAACGAAGGAAGACTCCACGCCTACGATAATATTGAGGTTATACAGATCCTAAATAATACAGGCCTAAAAAGAAGAAGCCTCATGAATCATAAATTTTTTTAGCTGTGTACTTATTGTATAATGCATAGTGCTCATTTTATGGCCAAAGAGATGCTAATGGGATTATCTTAGTTAAATACCATAGTTTTAATAAATTAAAATAAAATGTAATACATCTAATTCACCTAATCCAACATGTCCAACTCTTTAACTGTGTACTAATGACCCAAATTTCTGTTTCGCGGAATAAAAGTACGTTCATTAGTAAATAACCATGTTTTAACATCATTAGATTAAAAACAAAACATTAACGAGTTTGTTGGAAAATATTTTTTTTTGTAATGTCTACTTTAACGTCTACTATTGCCAATTACTGCCTTTTCTGCTTCTCTCATTTGTTCGTAACGTTTTAATGATTTTAAATAAGTTTCGTTTAAAAGGAAATTAAATCGGAACACTGTTTATCTAATTTCTGGGCTCCAATTTCACAGAAAGTTGCACATTTTATTTAAGTTAGATCATCTAATAGTTTGTCTTTGCGGTTTGCAAACACATCAAAAAGGAACCTCCAAGACGTGAACAGGACGACTAGAAATTGAAAAGGAAATTAACTACTTTGAAATCGTTATTAGTTTCTGTAGTCACATCGAGTAAATGATAAAATAATTAATGACTGGGAATTAAGTATACACTGAGACTATTTTTTTTTTTCTGTAGAAATATCTATATGACGTAAGTTCAACAAACATTTTAAAATTCTATTTAAAAATGTTATTTTAATTGTGTGACATCCTGTATAAAATAGTAATTTGGGATTTCATATAGATCAAATTAACATTGAAATTGGTGGTAGTACATATGGCATTCAGTCTGTAACAGAAATGAAATATCTAGGAATATTACTAGATCAACATCTAAGATGGGATAGACATATTAGCTACGTTATAAAAAAATTACAAAAAGTGATATATACCTTTAAGTGCTTAAAAGAATACCTACCCGAACGAGAATTAAAAACTTTATATTATTCACTTGTGGAGAGTCATCTTAGATACGGAATATCAATCTGGGGAGCAGCAGCTCGTATTCACATAAATCCTCTGGAAATTCTCCAAAAAAGATTCATAAAAATAATCATGTCGAAACCTCGTAGGTATCCAACTAATGATCTTTATAAAATATCCGAAATTATGGACTTACGGCAATTATTCTACTTTAATATATGCTTAAAATACCATTATAGTAATAACAAAGGACCTTATCCGGACCATCAATACCATACTAGACAGAAAGAACTTCATACCTATCAATTTGTAAAAAAGTCATTATCACAAAAAGCATTTTCTTACATTGGAACCAAATTGTATAACTCACTTCCTAGAAAAATAAAATTAATAAATAATAAAATTAATTTTAAAAAACATTTGAAGGAATTTTTAAGAAATACTAATAGAACATTTATTATTAATTTAATAGAAACTAGGGAATAATCTATTTACACATTTATTTACTATTTTTACTTATTCCTCCAGTTTTACTTATCTTTACATAACAGTACCAATTTTAAGTAGGTATTTTAATATTTTTCTGTCGCATCCAATCCTCAGACTGAACCCAAAAACTGCAATGATCAAAAGTATTCATTTTTAGTTTTAGTTCTAGTTTTTTTTTAGTCTTTAGTTAGATGTATTTATTCACCTTTTTAACATTTTTCTTTCTTCGAAACAAGTGTTTGATAACACTTATCGATTTTTTTTACTTTATTTATGTATTTTTTTTTTTTAACTTCACTTACCTTTTTTATATGTATTTATTCACTGTAAAAAAATATAAATAAAGTCTATTATTATTATTATTATTATTGTCGGAGAAAGCAATATGGCTGAAGGGGGAATTTCTCTAGGTGGGGATCTGGCTGGCTCTCGATTTTCGAACCTTTTCACTAAAATTTATTTCCACGGCATATCTCTAAGTGCCAGCAGTGTAGTGACTATAAAAATAGCGGTGAGTGGTTAAAAATGTCATTAAAAAATATTTCAGTAGAAATTATAGTTCTACTTCTTGTTATTTTTTTGAAAATCAATTTATATTTATTAAATATGCTTTGGTAATTCATTTTGGTTGCTGGAATTGCACATTGTTTATATTAATTAGCTTTTTATTGTTATCTTGATTTAATTTTAAAAAATAATTGTTTAAAAGTTAATTTATATATCATACAAGAGCCTCGTGAATAACAGATTTTTTTTGCAAAGGAAGCGAATGTAAGCAGTTTTTTGTTTTCCTTCCTAACTACCTAAATTCTACTATTTCTACTCAATTCCGACATCACAGAGCTGCTTCAATTTAAGCATAATGGATATTAGTGTTTGGGGCTCGTGGAGCTACTGATGCTACTGATGAAGACGATGTTACAGTGTTAGATGGAGATGCTCTCTTTAAATACATAGTGGTAACTAAAAATTCACGCGGCTAAAACATGTTGCATATCGTACGATGAGATTTAAAATTTAAGGGTGTTGAAACCTCTAAAAACCACGAAACCTTCAAAATGGAAAAAAGTTTCAACAATTACAGAAGTGTATATAAGTTAAAGGCGAATATTTTGAAGAGCCGTAAAACGAGTTATACCAAACATTTTTTCCCTTGTATTTAGTAATTTTCAAATGTTAACACAATAAGGCTTCTTCGAAAAGGATTCCGTAAAGGAGCAAATTCCCACCTCTAACCTCGTTAGTGGGATTCCGTTTAGAGTTAATGCAGAAGTACAATCGGAGTGCATCGCGATGGAAAAGCCGGAGGGTGTCCTCACCGGAGGCTGATGAGGCGGCAGCCGACGCTAGATCTGCAATGGCGGTGGCAGTTATATCCCCTTTCATTAAATGTTCACGTTCGGCTGGTGCAGTACAAGAACTCGGATCTCATTAAACCCCATTTGAATCGCCGCTCAATTAATGTGGCGCGATGAAGACGGCGGCGCTCTCCCACTTCCGGCTTTTGCCTCCTCCTTGCCGTTGCTATTGTTGGCGAAAGTCCGGAATCGTTGAATTAATAATTGAGAGGTTTGTGTCTTTTCGTATAGAATTATTTTTGGTGTAAATTAATTGGGGTGTGCGGTGCGTCGGGTTGTTGAATATGAGCTTCGATTAATCTTCAGGGTAGCAGCAATTCTTTTTATTGTAATTTTAAAAATGTCTTGAAGATACACTTACATAGAACCCTAAACTATAAAAATATATTCAAGGCGCTGTCAGTAGGATTTATCTTAACAGTGCTAAAACAAGATTATATTAATTAACATTAGAGGAGACATCTTAAGCAAAAAAGGATTAATTGAATTTTGTTTTGAGCCATTTCTAACCCTATTCATTTCTCTGCAGGTGACAAGAAGTATCCAGTACACTAAACCAATATATCATAACGAGCTCATAACCAAAAGGCCGATGGTCACTATTCTCATTTAAATTGTAAATACAAATACTTATCCTTTAGTGCCTCTGGGCTTAAATGGCAAAATAATAGAGTCGGCATGTATTAGAACACGTACCTTGTTTCGTTATGAAATATAAGGGAGGTTATAAATAATATCAATGTTTGGAATAATATTAGATCCATAGTGTAAAAGTGAGTATCGATCACAGAAACATGGGTAAACATACATGAACTTTTGCTTTTAAAAATGTGATGATCTAAATAAAGTATATTTACAATACCCTATATTATTACTCATAAATGTCAATGTAATATTTGTCGTTTATGTTTTATAATTGTTAAACTGTTGAATAAATTATCAAAACCACATATTTCTAGATGCTACTTCTGTGGGGGTCCGATCCATCCTCGACAAGACTGTCCGGCTTTCAATGCTACTTGTAACAATTGTTTTAAAACTGGCCATTTATCAAGAGTATGTAAAAGTCAGACCAAAATCAGCAGCTACAACTTTGGCAATTTAAACTACAGCTTCAACTTCTGGGTTAAACAAAGCTACAATTAATATTAAGGTTAATGATACACCAGTTAAAGCTCTGATCGATACGGGAAGTAGTTCGATTATTATTGATTTTTCCACTTCCAATCGATGTAAAGTACAAATACTGCCATCAAATGATATCGTAAATATGGCTTCGTTAGACGTTGCATCCCATGTTGAAGGAAACTGTATGTTGACACTAGAAATACAAGGTGTAGTGTACAAAAGTGTCAAATTTCTTATCATGAAGAATTTGTGCTCAGATGTTATACTAGGTCATGACGTCCTTAAGGTTTCTTTTGGAGGACCAAATAAAACCCTCAAAATTTGCTGCCTTGTTGAAGCAGTGGTTTCACCAGCTGGTCTCTTCACTAACCTTAGAGCAGATTGTCACTCTACTGCTATTAAATCTTGTCGACATTCAAACGAAGATCTAAACTTTATTGAATCTGAAGTAAAGAAACCTCTTACAGAAGGCATAATCGCAGAAAGCAGTTCGTCCTAAAAAGCTTAAGCTCTTGTCTCTAAGAACAGTAATCGCAAAAAATTATGGTTATTAATTATGTATGTCCAAACAATAAATATATTCACTGAAATAGATGCTTATCCGGACCCAATATTGAAGATTTAATACCTAAAGTATCACGATATTCTGTTTTCAGCATTCAGCATGTAATAAGACGCTTATTGAAAGCAAGTCCTTCCTAGTGTCTGTTGAGGATGCTACCTGCTTCAAAAATATCAAAATCATTTGTTTCTGCTATTGACCACAACATTCCAGTTGTTATCGAGACGGATGCTTCATTGAATAAAACCGTGTTTGATCTTACATCAAAAATAAATGTGTCAACTTCAAAAAACTAACTGATGACTACACAGGAAGAACTTCATTACAAACATTTTCTTATTATCCTTGACATCGTCATCGATTGCTCCACCGCTAGTGCATCTGCAGCCAAGTATTTTAATTTTTAACAATGAATGATACATTTTTAATGTTCTCTTGCGCAAAAATGTACCAAAAAAAGTGTATCTAGCTCCTCTATCATATTTTATCGCATTGATTTTATCTTACTTTTTCTTTCGTATGCCAATAATCAGCGTTACAGTAAAAATGTATAAACCGTGACCGGCATATAGAGATAAAACACATTAACTCGGATTTCCCGCCGATTCCGACCCTGGGAAATAAGCCCTCGACGAAATCCTAACGAAGCAAAGTAGAAGACATCAAAAGGCGGCTCTTGATCCTCCAGCAAATAACCACAACATCATCATCGTCCTCGAGCCGTAGAAACGGCACAGCACAACCAGGCAAAGACGAAGTTATGTTCTGTGTAGGGCGTCGGACAATGGCTGTTTGTCACGCACTCGAGCATCCCTTCCCAGCACTCAAGCACCATCATAAACATTTATTTATTGCATTCGGGAGACGTGCTGCGATGCGGTAAATGATGCTCTTTTAGAACATCCACCCGACTGCGGATTTTATTAAAATTCATTTGATACACCGCCAAATAGTTACATAAATAATAAATACTGGTGTGCTTGTCGGAGATATGAATAAAAATTTGCGATAAACTGGATGTTTCCGCAAAGGATCGAGATTGAGCTTCCGGAGGTTCTAAAAACATTTCCTGATATCATACGATTAACTTTTGAAATATTAAAAATAGTAATCTACTCTAGTTATATCTACTGTATAGTTTTCTACGGCTCACTAAGAAAACAATTAAATGTTTCTTAAACGTTATATAATTTAAAAATAATTAAGGCAATCGTTTGATTCTATGACTTACTAATTTTTAAAATAAAATATAAATATTAATATGGAAAAAAGAACTTTTCAATGGATTTACGATGAAGTTGATATTCGTAATGCCATCTTAATAAACTTTAATGGAAAAATGTCGGAGCGTAGGTACGATCCTTCTTTAGATTTATTTCAAAGCCATGGGTAGTTATTACGGAAGTGACTTGTACCTCTGTCTTTTTTTGTGGATCATTGTGAATACCATAATATGCAATCGACAGATATACTGTGTGTCTCTTAAACTACACCATCCCGGTATTTTGTTTATATAATATTTCATTTTATACCCCTCACTAAATTTCACTTTTAGGGTATGTTACTTCCTCTTTAAGGTAAAATAATAGCCTGCTGGATTTAAAATAAACAACAACAACATTAAAAAACTCATATTAGAAAGTTTGTTTTAGGAAAAATTAAAAAAAAAGTTTTTCAGAATGGTTCAAATAGGCAAACTCAAAAATTTCAATAAAACCAAAAAAGAGGTTGGGTTGGGCTCAGT